CGAACGGGGCTCCTGGCCGTACTACTAGGAGCAAGGACGCTACTAGGTTAAAAGAGAAGCATGTTTCAAAAGCAAAGAGAAGGTCTCTGCTTCGTCCCTCCGGGCCAATTCGCACCTGCTGCATATGTGGATTGTCCAGGTACACCGAAGAGCCCCGAGCTCGAGGAGAAGGCCAACTGAACCGAACAGGGAACTCTTATGTTTAACCTGCAAGTGCCTCCTGTTGCAGACAATTTGATCATGTTAGAGGTTGAATTGTTCAATAGTTTCAAAGCAAGGCACCTTTTTTGCATTGGGATACTTCTTCCTGCGGCTCTGGTCCGTGGTACGGGTCATGGTATCTAGATGTCGTGGCCGCTCAAGAAAATGCTCTTAGCAACCAACAAACGACGTCCTGAGATGCAAGGCCCCGCGCATCTTTGGATAAATGACCTGCCGTTCTTCATTCATAAAAACTGTCACTCTCTGAACTGCTCGTTCTTGCAAAGGTTCTTGGCTTTTCGGGTCTGGAATGTCGTGTGAGCAGTCTTGTCTTCGTCTGGTGCCTTGCCTTCCTCACATCCTCCTTCGTTAATTTGAGCAACACACCGTCCTGTGGACATGACACAGCTCGGGTTTTTCACCCGCGATCGTTGATGAATGCGCTTTGCTCTGCCGCTCCGCTCCCCTTCTTGCCTTCACGGCCCCGGCGCAATGCACCACCAGATCACAGTCAGGAAGGCCTTCCACCTGGCGATCTTCCCACGGCATCGAAAGGAGTCTTAGACGCATGGAAGTAGTGCAAAGGCTCGGTTCACATTCTAGGCAGCCACGTCCATCCAAATCAAGTGGCCTGTTCCCACTGCGCCACGTCTCCCAGACGTACCTGGCAGTGTGCTGCTCCCTCGAAAGCCAAAGCAAAGCCTTTTTGCCTTTGTTGACACAAGACTTCAAGACACATCTGTGACATTCTTTCCAACTTGGTCAGTTCCAGCTCCGAACCGGTTTCGAGCCTCTACGGGTAGTTCTCCTGACAAGCTCTCCAAGAGCTCCGCATTGGCGCCTCGCTTTCGGATGAAGTCGGACGGAGACCGACTTCAAAAGGAGCTTGATGAATTATGAATGGGAAGCTTTGCAAACCCAAAGAACGATAGGCCTGTGCATATAAATGAATTATGTCGCAAAACATCTTCTGCATCGCCCTGTCGACACTCAGAACACGACCTGTGGACTGGTGACGGCCAAGCAAGACCAAGGACTTGGCCCTAGCGGAGAAGAGGGGTGGCGACGGCCGCCATGCCCACTGCAAAACCGAACAATTGCGTAGGAATCGGCAGCTTCGAGGCTTTGACATTTTTGGACATTCCCCGCATCTGGTATGCAATCTTGGCCTACGTCTGAACTCATCCACCAAACACCCAGGTGACGCTGGATCGACACACCAGGTGACCCTGGTGACGCAGGGGACTTCCCCTCCTCTCCTGCCAGTGTCAGCCAGCCACTTGGCCACCCGCAGTCCCAGTCCACGCAGGCCACCCGTGACCAGAGCTCGCTGGTACCTCCACGTCAGAATAAGGCGAATGTCGAGGAAGAGGAGTCTCCCAGAAGTGGTGTTTAACCGGAAATTCATGGAAAATCTACAGGAAAAGCCATCGTGGGAGGGCTGAGAAACATTGAAGAACCAATGGTTTCCGGTTGATCTTCCCCTGGTTCACCACCCCCAATCGGCGAGTGACGTTCGGGAAGCCCTTCGAGCTATTTCGAGAGCGTCACGGTGTTGGACTTGGGACGGTTCGGACTGTCAGGATCCGTGGGTTCAGATTGGGAATCATCCCCACTATCTCCACCGGGCAGAAGGAAGCAGAAAGAATGGCTCAAAGATGCTTTCAGCAAAGAACGCACTTGGCAACATATCAATGAGAAAACGCAGATGATGATGTTCACATGCAGTGCACCCAATGCACTTTCCGCCACACACCACAACCACGGAGCGGCACTCCGCGGGTTCGACTGCCGCTGGAGGACGAACGGAACGCAGGCGTGGCTCAAACACACCTCAGAGGAGAAAAAAGAAGCTTATTGTTTCTAATGGCTTCTTCTTACTACTAGTAAGGCACCTGTTACTAGTAGCGACGCACTTGTTTCTCATAGCTTGGAGTCAACTCCGAAAGGAAGCGGATGAAAAAGGACCCGAGTCAAAAAGTCTCTCCGCTTTCAAGGAACTGACTTGCACGCAACATTGCACCCTGTCCGACCTGTCCTAACTCTAAAAACGTTCCACAGCTCTAAGAAAGCTACTAGGAACAGGTGCATCGCTAGTAGTAACAAGTGCCTTACTAGTAGTAACAAGAAGCTATTAGTAACAAGAGGAAGTCCCAAGGAATAAAACTCCAGACTGTTCTTCTTGTCGTCACCGATGCCTGAGGACGTCAGGATGAACTCGCCCGTTCGCGCCGGGAACCTGAGCGTCCGCGGAACCTGTTTTCCCCGGTGAAACCGGTCCGCGAGGGGGTCCGTCCAGAAGCCTTAGGAGGTGAAGGCTGACAAAAGAGAAAGCTTAGCTCTTCATCTGGACATAAAACTCCCGGGGCCTAGCCTATCCATAGGCCTATCCTAGGACCTAGGATACCCTAGAGATATTAGCTCTTCATCTTTTGTGCTATTTCTGAATCGATTCTTTCAGTCACTTTCGTCCGGGTTCTTGCCTCCACGGTCTCCATGGTCTCCACCAGTGAAACACTACACATGTTTGAACCGAGATCACTTGGAGAAGTCATCGGGAGTGCGACCAACGGGGCCGCAACGGCTGGAGCCGTCCAATTTGGGCCAGGCTGCAGCACTGGGGCCTGCCCCTCGCGGCGGAGGAGCCGGAGTCGTAGCTCCGGGTGCTCCTAGGCCAGCAAAAAGATGGCTCAATCAACTAAGCAAATTCAAAACCCATCACAACAATCTCTTGAGCTGAAAAAGTCTTTGATAAAGAGAAGCGAAACATGTTGAACCCATTGAACCCCCTCAAGACATCCCAAAAATACTCAACTCTCTTCATTTCCCACTCTTCTCGTGCTGCGTGGTCCTTCCCAAAGGTTGCCAAACAAGGTGGAATGATTGCGGTCCCAGCGTCTTTCATGGCACTGCGCAGAAATCCTAGGAGCCCTGCATACCTGTCAGACGAAAGACGGTCCCAACCGCTCAATGAGCGAAAATCGAGCCCCCTTAGGCGAGCTGAAAATCGCCTCAGCGTGTTGTTGAGGATGAAGGCCACTTCGAAGGTGCTCTTAGACTGCGTAAGCCTCAAAGAAGAACAGATTCTTGAGAAGCTTTGTCTGATTCAGGTGTCTGCTGTCGACTGCTTTCGACTCTACTTCTGTGCCAATCAGAAGAATCTGGTGGAATCTGGTGAGCTCATTCCAGCCGAAGCGACTTTTTGATCAAATGCATGCAATTCAGGAGCAGCCCTTCTTGAGATTTGTCGTTCACATCTGGCTCCTTGGACCAACTCGTCTCTTGCTGAAAGAAACTTACTCGCTGCAAGAATACTAGAGGTCGGTCATATCATATCATCATATCAATCAAACTTTGCCGAGCTGCCTGAGCACTGGTTCCCAAGAAAATTAGGAAGCCACCTCATTCACAGCAGTGGAAGCTAAGGCATAGAAATGTGCTTGATGTTCTTTCAGAAGCCCATGCTGTGGAAGGAGTGCAACAGACCCGACGGCTGCCTGCAGCCTTGGCAGCAGGGACTGCACGTTGCCAGGTGGTCAGCACTGTAGTTCTTGGCATCCCCTGTCAGGACATGAAGCAAGACAATCAAAGAATGGGAAAAGAAAGGGAGAGAGAAGGGGAGATTGAAAGACAAACAGAGGGAAAGAGGAGAGAAGAAGAGAGACAGAACAAATCAGAAGAAAAGCAAAGCAACAGAACAATGGGATCGAAGCAAGGAACAACGGGATAGGAAAAAAGGGAGAAGAGAGGAGAAAGCAGTGAAGCAAGAAAAGGAAGAGTAAAGAAAGGAAAAGGGAAGGAGAGCAGAGAGAAGAGGGGGATAGAAGACAGCAGGGGAAGAAGGGGAAGGGAAGAGAGAAGCAAACACATAGAGGGGCGGCACAGGATAGGACAGGATACAGGAGAGGAAGAGGAAGAACTCAAAAAGATAAAGGCGACAAAAAAGGGAAGAAAGGTCAGGAGACCGAAAACGAGAGGCCGCAAAGGTCAGGATAAAATCAAACAGCTGAAAGAAAGGCAAGAGAAAAGCTTCAAGAGAGGAACAGAAAATAATGAGAGGGAATAGGAGAAAGGAATGAGAAAAAGAAAAAGAGAATTCAACCACTGAACCAAAAAATGGAAGCAAAGGACTTGTAGAAGATTCGAGAGGGCCAGAATTCACCACATTCACCTGCTACGTCATGACTATCTTCACCAAATTCACGTCTCCACGCATCAGCGTTGGCACCCACCTCTGGCATGGATGATTCATCGCCATCGCACAAGACCGAGGCAAGTTTCCTCAAGGGGTGATGTTGTCGAAGCGATCGCACAAAGAAGAAATGGAGGACTTGCAGAAAAACGAACCAAACCAAACACACCCCACAAACCAACAGGTGTCGGGAAAAATCGAGGAATTCTTCGAACCCTCGTCGTCCGCGGTCTTTTGGCCTCCGAGGATCGGTTTCAGCTCGCTCAAGCGCACGGCCTCGCGGGTTTCTTCATAGAACCAGTCCTCAGAGGTCATGGGTCGTGCGCACGTCGTCTCTTCGGGGCGTGAGACGCCGTGTTTTTGGTTCACGGCACCTAAGGGTGAGTCACAAGACATTTCGGCGCAGGTCCCGAAAACAAATATCATACATTGTCATGATCAAAGCTACATATATCTTACTCATGACTCATGCCGAAAACATATGCTTTTCGATCAAACAAACCCGACATCTCGTGGAAGTCCCGCCTCCAAGCCTTTTGCCTCTTTGACTGGCACATGATGCACCGGACGATGAACTGGAACTCCGTTCTTTTTGCCCAATGAGGAGAGCAAAGCCTGAAAATGCGTCACAATACACTTGACGCAAAGAAACGCCTCCCAAACGTCTGAAGCAAAACCCGGTCGTGAGTCTGCCCTTTCTGCAATCCCAAGCTATGAAGGTCTTGTGGCAATCCTGGGGCTTGCCCAGTGGTTGTGCCTCCAATGGCTTTCTTTCCCAGGTCACCTTCGGCATGGCGGGTGCATTCCTCGAAGCGGTCTGCCGGCTGGAGTTGCCGGCTGAAAGTGGTCCGCCAAGTCAGCTGGAAAAAGTCACAGTCACAGGCGTTCCACATTCTTGCAGGTTTACTTGTCAGGTCAGTTGTCAGTTGTGTTTCTTTGGTAAAAGAATCATTCATCTAGCAGCCGCTGTCCACTACCTGTCCAAGGCGCTGGGCTGAAGCTTTGAGTACCACGTGCGCATTGGTGCCACCAACGCCAAAAGAACTCACACCGGCCAAAGAGCCTGACAGCAACAGCCACTACCCTCACCCTGCCCGCGAGCCCAGCAAAACCCTGCACCTTGCCAGCTTTCGGAGATGGTCGCCAAAGTGAGCGGTGTCCTGCAGACGAACAGGCTCATGTTTTGAATGAAGAAATAGCAGGTGCTCAAATAAAGAATGACTTCACTTATGGAAATATATACATGTTTGCACCGCATGTTTCAAGAGCTTCTCACTTCTCTTCCAGTCTTCTCTTGGTCTACACGATCTCTCCTGGTCCAGTCGACCTCCTTGCTGGGATTTACAGCATGGAGGGACGGCACCATGCACTGGTGCTTCAGCATTAAGGCAGCCCTGAGAAGAATGCCATGAAGCTGCAGACATGCACTACAGCCACTGAGAAGCATCTGCAAAGCATTTCAAACTCTCAGTGCAAGACTTAAGAAGACCTGGCACTCCTGCAACCGACACGCTTTGCTGACAACTCTATTCACATGGGTCAGGGCACGAGGGTCGACTCAACTGGACCCAAATGGCCCTACGACGTGTCTGACCCTATGGTCCACCTCTTTTGCCAAGATGAGGGGTCAGGGTCAGGGTCCCCAAAGTCCCCACAGCTTCCAAACTTCGGCAACGCAAAATTCGTTTCGGAGCCCCAAAAACCAAAACCGTCCAAAAAGAAAGGTTTAAAAAAGGAAAGAAGCGCGTCTCCTGCAGCAGTGTTCAAATGGCCCACGTTGCCTTTCGCCGAGCCAAGCAAGACTCTGTGGGCCTCCTGAAGAGACAAGGACAAGACCATAGAGCCATAGGCAGCCATGTGCCTCTTCTTTCTCCTGATGCCTCCAACAGAAATGAGCTAACAGGAGAACTCAGGAGAACCAGATCGCCGCTTTCACCCTCGAGTCACCATCGCCGTTGTGCCGCGAGAGGGAAAAAGAACAGAAACCTCCCGTGCTTCGCCGGTCACCGATCTCCGTGCATCGAACCCTCTCCTGGCAGACCTCCGTAAGGGCGGCCACTTCTAATGGATCCCCCAACTTGGTCCCGGTGCCATGGCCCTCCACATAATCCAACTGAGAGCCTCAGAAAGGATAGTGGTCAGTCCACATTTGAGCGTTTTGTCCTTGGTGGTTGGATGGATTGCCTTAAACCATCTGCCTTCGAGCATGGTACCTAAAGCATCCCTTTCAAAATTCTAACTGTGACCAAACTCAGCGTACTCAACTCTTCCGATCTTCTACAAGTTTCCTTTACACTTTTGAGCCACAGGTCGTGGTGCATCTCACCTTCACAAAGAAGTTTCTTCCAAGTGACTCAAGATCCCCGCGTCCAGATGCGCTTGTCGGATCACCTCCACTTGACCTTCATACGAGGGCCTCAGAACCCGCACCACGGTTGGCCGACGGTCGCTTCTTGGAACCTCGAGCCGTGAACAGCGGCCGTTTTCGTCGCCTTTCGTCGTACCGAGCCACGCGGAGAAGGTGGTCTTCCGGGCGCCGTCGTTGTTGGTCGCAGAGCCTCCGGTAGAGCCGACCGAGTTCAAGGAGGTCATACGGGGAGCGACGGGAGCATCATGGGCAGCCTCGGAATGGAGTGGGGAGGTGAGCCCAAGACTCCCAAGATTTAGGTGTTTTTCTTCGTTGGGTTGCTAGTAGGCAAAGAGTCGTCACATGGGAGGTCTTCCAATCTGTCTATCACGCTCATCTTCCGCATGAAGGTCTTTCCAGGAAACAAT